GGGCTTGCCGAGACAAGCTTGCCCACAATCTCTCCGTCTGCCCCTGGCTGCCCCGCAGGCAGGCCATGTGGAGGCCGAGAGCCCTCACCATATGGCTATAGGCTGCACGACCTGGAAAAACTTGACCACTTCCGCCTTCCCCGCACCAACGTCAGGGTAGGGAAAGCCCCCGTCTGTGTGACAAGCTCCTGCGCTGAGTTTAAACCACCCACTGAAAGGGGGGCGGCTTGGCCAAAACAAGAGAGGGGTCCTTTCTAGCAACGCACACGCCAAAAAAAAAAGTTTGGTGGAGAAGCTCCTGCGCAGCTTTCTGAGCAAGCTGCTTGTCAGTTGGGTTCTGGAAGAAGCCCGGATGTACTCGTTGATCAAGCAGGAGACCGCGTCCTGGCGAGCAGCGTGAAAATCGTACCCCACGTCTGGGTCCAGGCTGCCGGCCAAGCCATGAAGCCGAGGGTCCAGAGCAAAGGCAGCTTTGTGGGCCTTGCTGCTGAAGTTGGCACCTCGCTTGTCCAGCGCAGCCTGAACCAGCGGCTCCGCACAGTTTCGGCCGTCTCCTTGCGCGGTGATCCTGGAAGTCATGCTTCTGCACCGCCTCCTCCACTGCCTTCCGGGCCTTCAGCCAGCACGGCAAGACTTTGAAGAAATCTTCCTGTGCAGTTTCACGGCTGAGGCGCGCCACCGGCGCATTGATCAGCAGTGCTCGCCGGGCTCGGAAATAGGTCGGATCGTGGGTCCATGCCAAGTGCCCCAAAACCAGTTTTAAACCCCCGAAACTGGATTTGGGGGGGGGGGGGTTTTGGTGGAACGGCGGAACTGAGTGAGATATGCACCCATGCAAGCAAAGGGGTGACCCTTAACAAGTGCCCCAAAACCAGTTTCCGAAACTGGATTTGGGGGGGGTTTTGGTGGAACGGCGGAACCCAGTGAGATATGCACCCAAGCAAAGGGGTGACCCTTAACAAGTGCCCCAGAACCAGTTTTAAACCCCCGAAACTGGATTTGGGGGGGGGTTTTGGTGGAACGGCGGAACCCAGTGAGATATGCACCCAAGCAAAGGGGTGACCCCAAAACTGTTTCTTTGTGGAAATCAAAAAGATGAGGATTACAGCAAAGAACGAATCCAGTCCTGAATCTGCTTTCGGCACGTGACTGAATCGGGTTTTTTGATACAACACAGTGACCCAGGCCCAAGCAAGGAGGCCTTGTAAAACTGGATTGGGTGAGATATGCACCCAAGCAACCTTAACAAGTGCCCCAAAACCAGCTTGAAACCCCCGAAACTGGATTTGGGGGGTGGTTTTGGTGGAACGGCGGAACGTAGTGAGATATGCACCCAAGCAAAGGGGGTGGCCCTTAACAAGTGCCCCAAAACCAGTTTGAAACCCCCTTGGTGGAACGGCGGAACCCAGTGAGATATGCACCCAAGCAAACAGGTGACCCTTAACAAGTGCCCCCAAGCAAAGGGGTGACCCTTAACAAGCGCCCCCGCCTTCATCCAAGGCAAGGTTTTCACCAAGTCCTGCAGCAAGAGCTGCGATGTGTGTTCATTGCAGTTGATGTAGTCAACACGCTGCCCTTTGGCGCCCAGTGCTGGCCGCAGAAGCTTCCAAGCCGCCTTGCAGTTTGCGGCTGAGTCTTGGCATACCCCAGCGAGAGATGTGATGCGAGAAATCTGATCTGCAAGTTTCTGACTCAGAAACGCCGCATTCTGCTGAACCCACTGCGCGTGGATCACCGCCAAGTGCAGGCACTCGCCAGCCGCGTTGCAGGCATCCACAGCCACCAAGCAGTGCTCCTTCGACGTGGCGCCATCCGCCGAGACAAACCACGTCCCCTGCCGAATCTTTGTGTCCACCGCCTGTGAGATCTCTGTGTCCAACTGCCTTACCAAACGGCACACAGTGGACGCGCTTGGTGGTACATAGTGGCTTGCAGCGTAGCCGAAGAACTGCTTCCATGCGTCTGAACTTGCGCAGGCAAAGGACATGCTGCTGCACACCAAGGCAATCACATGCTTCTTCTGCGCCTCCCGCAAGTCAACTTGGCCAGGCGCCACAGCAGGCTTGGACGCCCCTGGCTTCCAACCCAGGGGGAGCCACCGTGCAAACTGAGCCCACACTGTGGCACGCCTTTCCCCACACTCAGCCAAGCGGAGAACTTCCTCCTGTGAAAAGTGGTGTGGGCAGGGAGAAGTGCAGTTCCCCTGCATCTTGTACTGCTTGAGGAACTTTTCCATCTCATCAGGGATCTCAGCGCGGCTTCCCAGGGAGTGCCACTTCACGTGTTCCGCATGCTTCAGCACGCTCTGAAAGCAAGCGTGTTCCAGTGGGCGCACAGCTCCCTTGGAAACACTTTGCCAAGCGCACTTGAGGCAAAGCCAGGCCTCTTTGCCGGAGGCCGCAGCCTTCACCCGCACAAAGCGTTGGTCCAGCACCTCGCGCGCTTGGGCTGAAATGCCACGTGCTGGGCCCTTTCCCATCTGCAAGTTGGCCACGTCATGCCCAACATCTGCCAGGCGCTGCTGAAGTTCTTGTGTGAGGCCGGACATGCTTGAGCCGATCAACTATGCACACGCACGTGATGTCCAGGCAATGAGTTCTACGCGCAAGCCGACCGTCCACTCACAGTCACTCAAACACTGCCGTCTGAAAAGGTAACATGCAAACTCCTTCAAACTCCTGGCCTGCCAGAAGGGCTGAACCAAAGCCGTGGGCAGAGCTGAGCCAAAATCCTTTTGCGCCAAACAAGATTCTGGCCGCATGTGCAACAAGGAATCCAATGAGCACTTGGGGTCCCTTTTGTGGAACCCAGCGAAATACACCTGCATAAGGGGTTACCCTCAACTGAATTTGGGGGTTAAGGGGGCCCTCAAAAAGTGCCCCAAAACCGATGCACACAGCAGGGCAAAGCTCCCACCACGTAGAGTGGCAGCTGGACAAACCCTGCAAGAGATAAAGGTGGGAAACCAGCTTTGTAGTAGCTCAGGTAGTAGCTCACAAAACACACAACCCTTTAGTAGTAGCTCATGTTCTACCAAAACGTAAGTTTTAAAAACGTAAGTTCTTAAAACGTAAGTTGCGAGTTTCGAAACGCGAGTTTCCGGCGCGCTATGCTCCAGCAGGGCCGCCCCAACTGCCACCGGCGCCAAGCCGCGAAAATCGCTCCGCGGCTGAGTCCGCCCTGAGGGGAGGCATCCACCCAGTGAAGCAACCGCTCCACATGCTCGGGCAAGAAATCCGCCCGCATCCTCCCGGACGCAAGTGGCGCCAGGAGCAGGAGATCCAACTTCTCCAGGTTAGCATGGTAGCCACTCCACACTTCGGCCGGTGACGCTCCAGGCTGGGCCAGAACACTGCGGCGGGTCCAAATCCCGAGCCACGGGAAACGGAAACCCCCCCTACCTTGCTCACATCGTGGGCATGGGGAAATAGTGCAAGGGCATTCCTCCAAGGGGGGTAACCCGTCAACAACAAACTCTGCATCAGGGATGTGTGGTTCGTGAATGAAAACCACCACGGACTCCCACAGTGCCAGAGCCCCCGCCCGGTCCCCCCGGGCGAGCAGGCCTTCAACATGCGCCCTGAAATCCAGCAAGGCCCCCGCGGAAAGAAGGGCCTCATCGCAATGCACCGCCACATCAACACCCTGACGTGCGTACTGCATGGGGCGCACGAAGAAGAAAATACACTTAGTCAGTTTGGTTCAAGGCACTTGAGCCAAAATGGTAATTGTATAACACCATGAGGAATGATCAGTGTCTACCCAAGCCTACCAAACTCGAGACACAACCAGAAAGTTATTTCACAAACTGTAACGTGTTGGGGCTTTAGGAGCTGGCAAGGATTGGAGAACCTCTGCTGCTTGTAATTCCGTGAAATCCTTCACCTTCAATCTTCGATCCAGAGGGGAAGACTTGCTGGTGCAATAGGTAGGGAATGAGTTGGAATGAACCTGGAAGTCTCCTCAAAGTAAAGGAAACCACCAGTTGGATGGTTCATCTTCGGGTCATTCCACCCAATTCCCAGGAAACCGCCAGTTGGATGGTTCTTCTTGGGGTTCCAGTTCTCATTCGCTGAGAACCAGCAAGAAAAACAGGAGCTACCCTGCCTGAAACCGGCTCCTTCCCTGAAGTTTCAGCTTCCAAGTGGGAAACCAGCGAGGCGTAACACTGAAACCATTGAAAATAACTCCCTTCCCGAAGCGCATGGCCCAAAAACAAGGCCCATTTGTTGTTTGGCGCTACAATAGTCTTCCAAAGAAGTATAAAGTCCATGAACTCGGACAGTGAATTGACAATCAGTTTGCTTTGGAGAGACGCTATGCCAGCAGAAAAGACGACAACTAATCCAAACACTTGGAAAACAAGCGAAACCAAAGAAAATACTGACAGGGGAAGAGAGGAGAGAGAAGTGTTTCCAACAGCCAAACACAGCTCAAGAAACAAAACCGCAAAGCAAAGGCAAAGGAGCTGAGGACCTGTTTGGGGGTGGCAACCCCACGTTTTGTGGCAGATTGTCTGTTTTGTTGTTTATTTCATTATTTGATCGCAGTGTGTTGTTGATTTTGGGCAAAACACCAGTCCTCCGGCAAATGACCTTTATGTGTTGTGTTCTTGTTCTCGAGGTTTGTTTGGTTTGTGGGAAAACACATCTCTCCGCGGCATATTGTTTTCGTTGCTTGCATTTGCTTCTCCAGGTGGTTTTATTGTTTTGGGGAAGCCACGTAGTGCCTGAGACACTTTAATTCGAAATGAGAAAGCCGAACCAAAATCCAAAACGCACGCTTATTTCAAGAAACATGCAGGCCAGCTGGGTTGCAAACCTCACACTTTCAAGAAACACGAAAAGACGCAAGCGAGTCAAGCTAGCTTCGCAAAAAAAGGCTGGATTCCTCCTTAGACATGGCAATCGACATGTTTGCAAGTGAATATTATGAATGCCAATGGAGTCACGTGGAGTCACGCCTGGAACCCACACTTTGCATGCTTCTTGTTGCCCAGCCTCCTCGCCGTCCAGAATGGCATCCTGCCGTGAGAGCTTGGGAGTGCCGATGAGGGCCGTGCCGATTGGGAATCGGTGATTTCCATGGCACAGATCAAAGGAAACAATATTCTTTGCCCATGGACCCGTCATGTGCGTCTAAAACCTAGGGGAGAAAGAAGAACCTGAAACTAATCACAGTACTCTCTGCCCAAAGGGCCCAGAAATACCAGATTCACCTTTTGGGGACTCTAACAATGGACCAACGGAGAAACCAAAAGGTTAAAAGTCCGGTTTTGAACAGTGTATATAACTCAGGAAACTGCGGTCTTCGGGTCAAAGTGGCCGCAAACATGAACAAAAGCAGTGCAAGCACTAGATAAGAAGGTATTCCCCAGTGCTTTCAGTTACCGCCATAGTGGGGAACCAGGCATGGCTACCTCTAGCTTTTACATCATTGTTCATTGGTTACCGACGTTTGCGGTAAATGGACGCGCTGGGATTGGATAAGAAATTCAGAGGCTGAGATTTCCAACCAGGTAGTTAGGTTGCACCTGCTCCTACTGCCAGGAAATCGAGCCCCCTCGATTGGCCCGACCAATGTCTTAAGAAACTTGCGCGATAAAATAGATGCAGGCAAGCACATGCCGCAAGTGTTTCTTTTGAAAGCATGCTCCAGCAAGCAAAGTGGTTGCTAAGAGATTGAGCCCTTGAACTTCTGAGCGGGGCCGCCAGAAGTACCTAAAAGCATGTTCGAGCTACAGAAAGGCCGCGAAAAGCGAACAAGCCGCTAAGAAATTCAACCCCAAGCTTCTTGGTGAAACCGTCCATCGAAAAGGCCGCTAAGAAATTGAGCCCTGGGAGGTTCTCAAAAGCCCAACAAAAACGCCCAACCACATCTTGCTTGATTTCTTGAGCAGGAAGGGTTCTGAGAGCGCCCCACAAAACCGCCCAGCATCAGCAAAACGCATGCACGCACACGTCGACTTTGTCAAAGGCCAGAAGGGGCTTAAAGAGAACCTGGCCTGAAATTCTGCACACACACGCACGCACAATAAGGGACAAAAGGGCAGCATGCAAAACGGTGACTTGCTCAGCGGGGGTGTGGGACGAAACAATTTAACCTGCCAAATCAAGACGTGGAAAAGGAATTGCTAAGAAGTTCACCCCCCTGGCTCCGGAGGGAGCCAGGGGGGTATATAATGCCCAATTAAACACAGAATGGTCGTTAAATCGCCCGTCTCGACCAACCGATTTCTCTCTTCAGCGCTAAATCTAGAAGCCCCCCTGCGCCCAGCCCAGCATGTCTAAGACCTACTTACTGTAGTGTTATTTTCTTGCTGCGAGGGTTCTTGACTACCCCTGCACTCCCGGATTGTGGACATGTCAAACAGGTCATGCCAATCGGAGTCTCACTACTCGATGCTGAGGTACCAATTGGCCGCATTGTTTGCATTCGGAGCATCGTGAGCAAAACTGCAAACTTTGTGCTTCTCATGACTTGCATTCCTTGATTTTGCGGCCCAAGCATGAGGCTCGGTGACCTGTTTGCACCAGCAGAAGCCGGGAGCAGCAATGCAGCAGAATTGCATTCCTTGCCCGAACCAACAGCAGCCCCAATACGATCAGAGTAGCCAACTACACAGCCTTCAAAAGTTGATCTATCTCTTTCCATATTGGACAGCGACTTGTTCTTGAGGGTACCCTTTTTGCGACGGTGTTCGAGGGTACCCACCAAAAGCTCAACAGCACGAACTTATTGGAACAAAAGATAGTTTGTCTCTCCATGTTGAACAGGGAATTCCGCGAAACACCTCCTTGGAAGCCAAGAACAGCCCCTCACCTAGCAAGCAGCCAATCATTTCCCAGCAACTCGGAGAAGATAAAGAAAGGCCGGCGCCCTTTGTGTTGGTGTTTGATCTTCAAGGAAAACCCTTCCGCAACAAACAACCAACCAAACGAACAAGCAAACAAACAAGCAAACAAATAATCAAACAAACAAACAAACAAGCAGGCAAACAAACAAACAAAACAAATAAATCAACAAATGGAGAAAACAACAAAAGCCAAAGCAGCACGAACTAACCAACCAACCAACCAACCAACCAACCAACCAACCAACCAACCAACCAACCAACCAACCAACCAACCAACCAACCAACCAACCAACCAACCAACCAACCAACCAACCAACCAACCAACGGCCCGTCGAGTCCGCGCCTCTGGCAAGGTCCAGGAGGTCTCCATGGTGACCTTCACGAGCGACAACGCGTGAGGGGCATGGTATAACCCCAGCCCGTGGTATAGGTATGAAGCAAAAAGGGGGGGGAGTCATGGGGTTATAGTACTTATTGAATAATGGGGCCATGGGGGTATGGTTACCAAATATGGGGGGGGCTCATGGTATATATATATATATATGTGCATATATATATATAGTAGCATACATATATATATATATAGTAGCTTCATGGGGAGGGTTAGAGGCAGATTAACGGTATACTTTTAGCCCCTTCGCACCCTGGAAGTCTGACCACAGAGCCTAGGGCCTATGGACCCCTAAGCTTTCAGCTGAGAAGAAAAGGATCTGGCCAGACCCAGAGGTCGACATGTCGAAATGAGTTTGAGGGAGCCAGGCCAATGAAACAGGCTTGAACTGCGGCCGAACCCTGGCTGACGGTAAGCTAATTGTTCGATAGGCTTCAAGCTGGAAGAACGATGCATGAAATTCTGATTGGGGAGAAAGCTAAACTTGAATGATCATCCAAAAAGAAACATGGAAAAGCAGGGTCCAAGTCTAAACACAAAGCAACATGGGAGAAAGGTACCTAGAAGATCAACTTCCTCTTGAAGGGACCTCCTGTCAGGTGCAACCCCTCAAGAAGAATGCTTGTCAAGGGGGAACTGCACAAACGTATAACGGGTGCGTCGAACGATTATCATATATAAGCTCAGAGCAATATGCAAGGGGTGGGGAGGTGGGTGCGGGCAGGTCGTGGGTGTTGAGTGCGTACTGGCGTTAACGCAGCGGTTCGACATGTTCCAGGCTGTTTCACCTGGGGTGCTTTCTTTTGGAGCTTCAAAGGGCTCAGGTAAAATCAGACATTACCACAGTCGCTTTCACCAAGGGAGACTCTAGGGGCTGTTCTGGGGCGTCCACCAATTCCGCCAATCCAAACATATGGAAGGCAGGAGCCTCGCCACTGGCAAACTGACTCCAAGGCTGTTGATGCCATGTGGATCCGCACCCCTTGCACACCTCCCCCGCAAGAAGTTTAACTTTTAGTGGGTTAAATGGAAACTACCAGTAAACACTAAAAGGCTAAGGATGGCTGGGGGCCACCGAGAAACGCCATTGATCAACGCCTGTCCTGCGATAGTTCGCAACCCCCCGCTTTCTTTTCCACCGCGTGCTTTGCCCTGGCCTCGTTGTAGTAGTACAAGTCTCCCTCAGGCCTGACGTGGAATGTGCGGGGCGTTCATGCCATTTTTTTTTTTTGTTGTTTTTTTTTTTGGGGGGGGGGGGGTAAAAAAGGGAAGCAACAGGACCCCCCCCCCCTCAATTATTTATTTGCCATCTTTTTTTTGGGGGGGGTCCTCTATTTGCCTCGTTCACGTATTATAGGCAAGGGCATCGTGTGAAGCCTGAAGCGCAGGATTGCTCAATTTCCGAGTTCGCGAGGACACCTTTCCCAGAGCCTGTGGTGTGAAATGAGAGGGCAAGGTTCCCCACTTTGGGAATAGCAGTGTTCAGTCATGGGCGTTTGGTCTTGTCTATTTCATTTCAGAGTCTGAGAGTCACTGAGACAGCTGTTGCCTGGAAAGGCGCTACCACGCCAGTAAGCACAAACTGTCTGCTGAGTGGCCCCACATCGTGGCGGGTCAGTACGTACAATTACCACAATGTCAGACCATCAGCCAGAATGGAACCAGGAGGATGCCTGCAAGACGCTGGAGTAACATCGCTGCACCAATTGGGGAAGCTCGGGCACGGATTTGGAAGCCAAAAAGCGACCAGCACGAAGCGATGCTGGTGGAAAGGTTGCCAGGAGACAGAAAACAAACATCCTAATCCTCCTTGAACCCAATATGTGCATCGTTGACTTCTCCTGAACGTCAGAAAGAGGAGCAATTCATTCACGGTAGCAAACACCTTTGGACAAACAAGCGGGGATACGGAGGGAGCGGGGATATGGGGGGATTCCCTTGGCGCCAATTCCCATATCAAACTTAGTCAAGGTGCATTTAGGGGAATCCTCCCGTATCCCTGGTTCCCCCTGTATCCCTGCTAGTTGTTTTCCCTGACAACTTGCTGGCGCCAAAAGCAACATCTGCTGTTCTCAAGAAGCACCCCCTCGCTTTTATCGACGGCATGTCCGGCCAAGGACGCCCCGGTCACTGCGCCCATCTTCACATGGGGACAGCTCCCCAATCGAAGCCAAAATAACTCGGGAGTATCTCCATTGAACCAAGACAAGCAGTCTAGCAGTTTTGGGGACAAGTATGAGGAACCACTTTCAAAATACGAGCCATCTTGCTCGGTTCCTGAAAAAACATCTCAGGGCATCCCAAAAAAATCCCGAAGCTGGTTACGGAATCAAGGGTGACCTCGCCTCCCCAGCTCCCCCCCCCAACATAAAAGCGTGCGATCTGGGAAGCCCCGCGACACGTTGGCACGCCATCGCCCTGGCGCGCAAATGGTCTCTGCAGGAATCAAGCTAGCGGCCTTGAAAGGAATCCTCAAATGGGCGTGGGTCAGAAATACGTACCCAAAATGAAACCCTTGATGGAAAACCAACGGTCCATGATGGTCCATGATATCCTGGTCCCTTCATGTTGCCCCGTATCCAAATAGGTTGCCATGCACATTCCTTCACTTACCAGCGACATGGGACTTTGCGAAGGCACGCTGGCGGGATGCAAGGTCCCCTTTGAGTCGGGGGTTCAACAAAGGCAGGGGACTGAAGTATTGAATCGGACAAGGTTGAAAATAGCACTTCCGCGGATTTGCCCATTCTGTTCCACTCCAATCGGAGTCCGCAAGGATTCAGCCAGGTCCAAAGCAAAGCTCGAACTGGTTGCAGGCAACAAAGCTCGGAGACAGAGAGAGAAAGAGAGAGAGAGAGAGAAACAAAAAAATACTCTGGTCAGAGATACGCTAGACTTCAGGGATACAGAATAATGATTCAATGGTGACCTTGTGATGAAGGGACTCTCTAAATAATCAGAAAGACTCACCGTTAACACCCAATGACAAGTTGTCCAACATATCGGCACATACCCGCTGAAATGCCCTGCAGCAGAGCAACAGGACAGTCCTCGCGACGCAAGGTTCTGCAAACTTTTAAAACAGCGCAGTGTCAATTTCACTGGCTCCTCATGAGATGTGCTGAGAATTCAAGAAAGGCATGGCCAAACCGTCACTCGTCAGCGGAAATGGATGAATGTTTGGATGGCGGCACAGCTTGTCCGCAGGAATGCAATGTTTTGGGATTGAAACTGGCTTCAAACAGAAATGAGCAACTCTAATGCACCCTTCTACGTCTATGCAGCACTGTGCATGCTGGCACGCAATTGGACGACTGCCAATAAAGCAAACCAAGAGATCCCAGAAGAAACAGAAACAATACACATGCTTGGTATTAGGAGGCCTGAGTTCCGATCTGTCCTCTTCGGTCCTCTTCGGTCTCTTCCGGGCTCTGCATTGGTTTAGTAATGCTTCGCGTTGGATCTGAGAGGCCCACCGTATACGATGTGAATTGGGGACGGTACGTAAAATCACCGTTTTAGTATTGGTGTCACATTGACTAGTCTAAGTTTGGTATTCCCGAAGCTGGACGCACCAAAAGCACATGACTCTGGGGGACGCTTCCCCATTCTTTCCAGGCATCCTTCTTTCCAGAAAACCATCAGAACCCCAAGGAAAACAGCGATCGGTTATTGAAAAAGACGATGATTGAAAAAATGGAAAAGGAATGAACCCCTAGAATTAGAATGACAGGAAGCTTCGGGATAGCAATTGAAGTTTGAGTTTTGTCGGACACGGAGTAGGGAAGACACCCAGCCGGATTTGTTTTCCGCGAACTTGGAGCAGCTGGTTTTACCCTTTCCTCACTCTTCCGCATGATGCCCTGGAACAAAGTAAGTGTAAGTGCAAGTGTAAGCCTGCAAGGCCCTCTGACAGGATGGCCCTCTGCCTGTAACCCGGGGTGGGGTAGTGAAAGCACTCAGTTCCACTCACGGCATGCCCAACTGGCATTTCACCGGTAAGACAGTAGCCCCCTTTGCCCCTGTAGCAAACTTGTGTCTCCAAAAGCGTTCGAAGAGGAAATCAGCCTGGCACGCCAACTGCGTCCCAAAAGCAGGGGAGTCAATGGAAAAGGTGTCATCCACGAACAAGCCAACCCTGTGTGGCGCAACAATCTCCATGGCCACCAGCCTTTCACTGGCATTGAACATGTGCATTGTATCAGGTTCCTTGCACGATTGCTTTGATAATTTCTGTGGATAAGAAAGGGAGCACCACCGGCCTCACCGGCTCAGCAGGCGCCCGGCTCAACAGGGCAGGAGGGGTGCTAAAGCCTAGCCCGCCCCAGGTGTGGCGCGATAAAGGTCCGCCAGTGCCGCAATGGACCCAAAAAGTGTGAGAGTTTGACGCGGAATTGGTCACCGTTACCGTTGCAAAGCGAATCTTGCAACAGCCACTTCGCCCCTCCACCCCGGCTTGGGCAAGCTGGAAAAGGCATGAGGTCTTGAAGCAGGTCTTTATTGAAAAGCGACGGGAGACCAACGTCTGCGCGCAGCTGCAAGCAGGTAATGATGGAGAGGGCCACCAGCAACGAATCTACTCTTCCTCCGTGCTGTCCAGTGCCCAGGAACTCTTCCAGTTTTCTCTGGTTCCGGCTAAGTCAGCAAGCGTCGAAGATACACTCCAATGGACAAGTGTACGAAGATCGGCCACAAATTTGCCAGGCGCTCAACCATCCGTGGGCCTTTTCTTCCGAATGGGTAATATCTCGCGGAACGAGGCACAAGGTAGCAATCAAATTGACCAAGGCCCAAGCTACCGTAACCCCGGCGCCCAACGATGTGCGCAGAGCCGTTTGGCAAGCGTGCAGAAGCCTTCGCTGCCTTCAGTTGCTGGCAGCAAGTTTTCACCAAATCCAGGGAAGCAAGCTCCTCGAAGTCCTGCGATCTCTCACGCAGAGTTCGCGCACGATGCTCCGTGACGAATTGCTGGACTAGCTGCACCTGCCCCGAGTCCCCCCGGTCGGCTCTCTGCGGGTGCAGCATGACGTCCAATCTGCCCCAGGCCCCCGTCCATCGAAAATTCCTCGCCTGTTTCTGGGTCACGCAGCCCCAGCTGCAGCTGCATCTTGCGCTTGAGTAGAGAAGAAAGGAAGGATTGAGCCTCAGACTTGTTGGTGTGGAAAGCAAACAGACAGGATTGATCTGAATCAATCGCATTGCACATCTGACGACACTGGCTCCGCCTGGTGCGAAACCAGGCTACACCAGAGATAAGGTAGATGGTGCAAGTCCATTTATGCAGGTATGATCTCACTAAAAAGGGGGAATTGAGCCATCGACTTCCAGCCGACTTGGATGTTGAAGGTTTGCAAGGGAACTAACTGGCTCGTGATCGGACACCTCCATTTTGCACTCCGTTTGCTCGTTGGTAAGTGGGTCGATGGTCATCCATGCTCTGCTTGTTTACTCATCTAAACCCAGCCAGCTAGCCTAGACTCGCCCAAAGCGCCTGGAAATAAAAGCTTAACCTTTTTGAACCTGGACTATGGACCCAAGTCAGGGAAGCCAAAAGGTGAAAAGGTCGATACGCTTTGGTCAAGCTATGAAAACAACTTGTGTGCAACAAGTCTATGAGCTCATGAGTAAGTCTTTCTTAGATTCTTTCAGGGAACTAACCCCAACATCCCCCTTACCTTTAGGGAAGGGGGTTGGAGGTCCCCAATTCCATTTATTCAGTCTTCCCCATAAAAGGGAAAATGGAACCACAAATGGAATTCCAGGGGTCACCCCCCTCCCCCAATTCCATTCTTGAGGGGGTGGAACTAACATCAACTGAGATCTCATCAGCCTCGGCAAAATTTGCGCACCCTCGCCTCGAGAATCCCCCAAGTCCTGGAGCCGAATCCATGGACCAACATGTCCATGTGGGTGTGGGTCAAAATTAAACCACCAGGGGACCACAGGTTTTGGTCCATTTTGCCACTTACCAGGGTTCCATGTTGGGTACCTACTTTTGACCCACAGCCATGTACCCTCAAAAAGAACCAGGGGTTCAGACCGCGCAACTATCAATCTTCTCTGGTGGCTACCTTCCAATTCCATTCATTCCAGCGATCCGATGTTTTCTAGAAAACCTCCGGACACCCATGGAAAATAGCTGGTGGTTGAAAAAAACCGATGGTTGGAAATAATTTGGAATCAACCCGTAGAAATCTGCAAACTTTCGTATGCTTCCAAACGATCGGATTGGAGCGGCTCTGGCGAAACGCAGGCACAGAGAAAGAAACACCTGCAGAGACATGCACACAAACACAAGCAAACACACTCACACACCCACTTGCGCACACAATGAAAATACACACACACATGCAAACAGCAAGAACACAAGCAAAAGTTCACAAACAAGCAAACAAACAAACAAACAAACAAACAACCAAGCCAGCAAGCAAGCACGCAAGCTAGCAACCAGCCAACCAACCGCAAATCGGGCCAGCACGCACACACAAACAAACAAACACGCATACAAACACAAGCAAGCAAGCAAGCAAGCAAGCAAGCAAGCAAGCAAGCAAGCAAGCAAGCAAGCAAGCAAGCAAGCAAGCAAGCAAGCAAGCAAGCAAGCAAGCAAGCAAGCAAGCAAGCAAGCAAGCAAGCCAAAAAATAAAACAACTAGCTAACAGGCAAACAAAACAGCAAATACAAAAACAAACAAGCAAGCAAACAACCAAACAAGCCCAGTCATGCTTGGCTACTTCAGCCACTTAGCCCCAATCCTTCAATCGGTCCTCTGATTCCACTGGCGCTTCCCAGGATGTGACACCGGTTTCCTGCGGCTGAAGCCCGAAGCGATCCTTTTGAGCCCCGCATGCAAATGTTGAGTCCGAATGAACCTTGGGAAAAATAAAATATGTCCAGTACTGAAAAAATCATTGTAAAACCAGCAAGGGAAAATATTTTTAAAAACAATATATTCTTAAGCAAAGGAAGATCCCGTTAAAGGCAGTTCTTCTTCTTCCCCCCCAACTGCCATGCGGGTGCTACTAATGAGGGATTAACAGTACTCTTCAAAGGTTGTCCATCATCAAACATCATCAACGCCCACGTGGCCCTCTCATCGCCAGTGGAACAAGTTGAATGCAGCCTTGCATTTTGCCCAAGAGCACAATCTGAAGTCAGCCCGCCCAAAGTGAACTCTGGGCGCTGATGGGCCAAAAGGTTGCCCTTACCAATGTGAAGCTATCAGCAGGTGAGAGGTCAAGAGACCTTTGAGAATGGGATCGGGATTGCAGATCTTCAAATCCAAACCAATCCAAGCCAGTTCATGAACATTCAATCATCCAAATGGTAGAGGAATCTTTGCTACCTCCAGTAGAGAGGATAGAATAAGGGTACCCGCTTGTTTTCTTCTTTTTTTTCTGTAGTCTATTCTAGTAGGGGAACCCCCAAAAAGGGTGAGAAAGGGCGCTACTGCGCGACCGAGTTTGGGGTCCAAACTTTGGCCTACTGGTGCGGCGACCCGGAGGCCCAGGCCGCGCCTCGTTCCAGTAGTACCATTCCTTCACGGAGCCTGCAGGCGCCTGCAATTGAAGCATCCGCTCGCAAGTGACTTAGAACTAGTGGGACAGGGGTCAATGGGTTTCCCCTGAAGTTGATCAATCATAGGTGTCCTTTTAGGGGAAATAGATGGATATCCCTGGTAGATGATTAAGCCGCCAAATACACCAGGGCCACTTGTTTTTCCACCTGTGTGATCAATTTCCTGGTGGTTTCCCATGAAACGATCACCACTGATGGAGGTTCCAACAAGGGGAAATGGCTCGGAAACCCTATGATACCACGTCGCCATTTGGTTGGTTACGAGTGCCACTGGCGTTGACATAATTTTACCGCTGGCACTGCACATGGGGTCCTCAAAAGGGTCTCTGGTGTCAAATAACGCTTGAACATGTCAGCATCGATTCAACCAGGGCGCATTGGGGGGGGTGCCTTGTCATGATCAAAGGACGCCTGGAAGAAATGAGCCATGAAGGCACATGTCCATGATGGCTTCACATCCCCAACATGTTCAAACGTAATCTGCCCTGTGAACTGCTGTGTGTCTTCCAACCCAGGCTTTTCAGGACAATGTTTGCAACTGCAACTTGCCAGCAGCCGCCAGGAAATACATCAACGATCAATCAACGATCAATCAACGATCAACCACCAATGCAATGGGCCCCGCATGGCGGCTCCGGAGTTCTTGCAGCAATCCGGCTGGGCAAGTTGTGGTGCCAAAGGCTGAGGTGAACCCAGGGCAGATGATCAAGCTTTGTTTGGGGATAGTCAGGGTCGGTCGAGGCCCGTCCGGAGCACAATCATAGCATTGGTCAAGAGTTGTCTTAAACGTGCTTCAAGGTTGGATCTGTCGGAAATAATAAAGATATGCCTTGTGTTCATGTGTTCATTCCGGATTTATCTTTATGCAAGCAGTATATAGGCTCAGTGGAAATCTGCAGCAGGTATCGTAGTTGTCCTTTGGTTTCTAGTTGAAACCCACCAAAAACAGTTCCCAAAAAAGACTTGAGTCAAACTGGGTAAGTCCTTTTGGTTTCCCGTCAGAAGGGTACTCAAGAAGGCCTACAAGCAAACACACACACACACACACACACACGCACGTAGGTGCGAATATACACTTCGCCCTTTCCCAAACAGGACTCGAAATCTCTCCGAGGGACCCGTTGGTTTTCCGGCGCATTCCCTCGTTGTATAGGTGTCCCTTAAAACAATACACAGAAAGGGTACCCAACCAGAAAACGACAGACCCATTTGTAGTAGGCATATCAGGGAAAACTACCAAGGATGTCAAGGACACGATTAGTTGCTCTCTGCTCTCCATGTTGGTTGAACTCGCCTACCGACACTTCCTCGTGCTCAAAATGTAACGTCTTATTTCAAGCAGTATAAACTCAAGTGCTTGGCAACAGGCAGGAAACGTGTCCTGTGATAGCGAACCATGCACTATCATTGTGGCATGGCGGGGGGACATAGAATCACCGGATTAGGAGCTAGGCGTTGGTTTCAATCGCAAAACACACAATCGGCCCTACCTTCGCTCACTTGGAAGTGATGTGTGTTAGGTAGCCTTTTCAGCTTGGTTGAAAGGGAAAAGAGGAACTAAGAACCCTTCTTCGTGGTTGGCCTCATTATTTCAGGGCCACAACCCCAGTTTCGCACTTTCATAACCCCAGACACAGCTAAAAATATAACTTTCTGGGTTAAATAGAAACCAACCATCTACCCGCTTTCAAAAACCCCTCCAAACCAACCAATCCCCTCTTTAAAAAACCAAACAAATAGAACCCCCCTGTATGTATATATAGATATATACAAAAACAACAACATATAAATATATATACACATATATAAACAGAAACCCCCTGTGTAAAAAATAATAATAATCTCAAAGCCCTGAGGACCCGGACTGGGGGATTCTGGGATTCGGAGGCCTCCAGCAACCTCCATGGCGCCGCCGGATCCGCAGGCCTCGCACAAAGAAGAAGACAAAGACATGGCTGTGGTGGTCAAAAGGCTGGGAAGGTTTTGGCGGCCCCAACTGGAATTAGTTTTGGTGGCCTACCCCAACTGGAAACAAATGTTTTACACGCTTCTGGGTGGTTTCCTTAAGGAGCCCGAAGTGGCTGTGGTGGTCAAAACCGTTTTGGGATACCATTTTGGTTGGGATTGGTGAATTCACCACCCATTTTAGAACCTATTTTAGTGGGGCTTGGGATGTTCACCGGGTACGGGAGTTTGACCCCTGGCCACATGGCTCTGTCCCTTGTTTTGGAGTTGGACCCGCCTTTTTTGCTTGGTTTCAAAGGGAAACCAAAAGGAAAGCCACCACTTTTAACTTTTGTTTCGGAGTTGGAGCCCCTTTTTGGTGGGCTTCAAGGGAAACTACAAGGGAAACATTTTTTGTCGTTGTTTCGAGGTGGCCCCCTTCTGTTTGATGTTAAAGGGAAACCAACATGAAAACCAAATTGCATTTGTGTGGGGGCCCAACCTTAAAAAGCAAGACCACACGGTGTTCCTTTTCTCTTTGTATACTCAGCAACAGATTTCACATATACTTTGCGCGCGTGGGGCATCATGCATCAAAAGACCGCATAGCTCATTTTGCTCCGCAAGTAATTATTACATGAGGCAAACAACCATAACCTACTGCCGGTTTGGCGGGAAGCATGTCCTGACCCCAGCATCTTCTGCTTCTGCGCGCGATGCGTGCGCACTTGAGGACACATGTCAAGAGCTGAACAGGGACTTGTAGATAGTTGGGGTTTGGAAGCCCAGTTAGTGCTGTCTCATCCAGCAAAAAATTGCGTGCCCTCGAGTGATTTTTGTGCGGCGACCTGCCCTTGGCACCCATTTAAGTAGTCAGCACACCCCCTCGACCAGTCTGGCACTGGCATCATTGTTCGCAGCTACAAACATGACGGCCACAGCGACCAAGACACCAACCCGTTGCAACAGAGCCACAACATCCGACATGTCATCAACCACTCCGTCCACTTTTCCAAACAAGCAGCGTTGTAGGGTATGACATCTTCATCGGTTCTTGAGGCTCCTGGTCGTTGCCATCAAACATGTCCCGATCCTGCAGAAAGACCGCTTTTTTGGGGGGCAGAGCCTACGGCTAGCTTCGGGGGCGAGCGAAACCGGTGGCAAGTTACTGGCAAGTGTCCACCGCCAGTGAAGCCAGGGGCTTTGCACGCGCTAGAAAACCTTTTAGCCCGATGCACTCGTGGCCACCATCTGCCGCCGGCGCAGTGCTATCCCCAGCTCCAGCCCAATCTTGGAACCAACACTCCCCGTGTTGTCTTGGAACCATCACCTCCATTGGGTTAAGACCCCTGGAAAAACTCAAATCAAAATATGTTCAGTAGTGCTAGATTCCCTTTGAAACCAACAGGGGAAAATCACAAATCTTCAGTTCAGCAAATGGAAGTGACCTCGCGGAACTTTCTCCGGCCTTGCGTGGCGCAGAAGCCGGCTTCGCCGGCACCTGGCGAGGAGCATGAAGCCGAAACACGGCCTACTTTTTGTGTTAGAGTAAATCTTTCCAAGATTAAACTCTTCATTTTCAAATTTCAGGGGTTTTGGGGATTCAAATACTCAAGTAATTAGCTTCCCGCGAGTTGGTGGTTTGGATTGGTGGTTGGGAAATTGAACCTCTGGCTTTTGAAGAGGGGAAATGGGAAACGACCCCTTGACCACTAAACATCCAAGCCAAACCACAAATTAGGGCTAGGGTGAAACAGATTCAGTTTGGGACAACAAATTCGCGGGGATACCGGGGAAGCGGGGATGTGCGAGGATCCCTGCAAAAGTAGTCTTACCCGACAAATATGTCGACATCCCTGCTTCCCCGGCATCCCTGCTAATTTATTTGTCTGATCAGTGATTCTAGCATGTCCCAAGTTCAAACAAACACTTCAATTCAACACCTGTGAGTCAAGGACACTGAAGCTTTCCAAGCCAAGTTGCATCTGCACCCATTAAGGGGACGCCGACCTACAGAAGCACTGGCTGGTGGCCCGAACAAACAAGTCATGCAGGGCCAGTGCTGGTTGGATGTCTCCAGAAGTCTGAAGCAATCTCTGGCCACCATCATGAAAGATGCAGCCGTTCCAAGAACTCAAGCAGCTGCTTCTGCAAGCTCAGGCCGATATGAAGATCTGGACTTCAAAAAGAAAAAAACAACAAGGTAGGGAGAGTGCTCGGCGAACAGTCCAGGAACTCAAAAACAAACGCCAGACACCTCCACAGTAGCTGCTTCGAAGAATACTTGGCTGCAGTTCTTTCTGCAAGGGTTGAATTACTCTCCTGCAAATCTTGATCTGAAAAGCCACCAGAACCTCCTTGGATGTCGAGCCACTGGGTTGATTCGCAAGCGCGGCCCAAAATGTTTGACCACTGTCACAGATGTGGTGTCTGCGGTTCAGGGAAGGGCCCCGAATCATGGAAGCTGATGGGGGCGCTTTTGGAAGACTACCTCCTTTCCATGATTGACGACCTAAACTAACACTGGGTCCTCGAGTAGAGAGGTTAGAATAAGGGTACCCTTTCTTCTGTAGTCCATTTTAGTAGGGTCCCGAACCCTCCCCCAAAAAAGAAACGGTAAAAGGGCACGATCCTGGGGGACCTTGACCATGCACACCTAGACTTCAAGCATGTTTGTAGCACATGTTTCAGTGGTTTCACTGGTTTCCGGGACCAGCCACGGTTCTAACTACGCCAACCAAACACGACCAACGGGCCTGCGGCAAAGAGCAATGCCCATGCCCACGGCGCCCGCGAAGTGGAAACTGCCTCAGCAGAGATTTCTGCATCCATAGCACTCTGACTCTGTCACGATCTGTTCAGGGGGGGCGGGGGGGAGGGGTTGCCAAGCGCAGAGGTGTCTGCATTAGGATTGAGTTTTATGAGAGTGGTGATGTGCCAGCAAGTTTGGTGGGGGTCGTCTAAGGCCTTCTTACAAGCACCATGAATTATGTCGGATCTTGGATGCGTGCGCACACCTCTTCGCACAAACACTGAGCTTCACATGAGCAGTGTTCTAAACCAAATTGCGGCCGAAGAGAAATATCGAATCCCTTCCGCGAAGGCTTCCGCGGCATGACATGTTCCTTCCGCTGGAGGTTTTCAACAGGGAATCGCTTCCGCGTCGCTTCCGCGGATGGAGAAATGAGATTGACGCTCGTTTTCGCTTCTGAGTGTGCAGGAAAACAACAATTCCTTATGTTTGTGGCGCTTCCGCGAAGCTTCCGCGCGTACATAAATCATAAACACCTTCCGCGAACCTTTCGCGGCGCTTCCGCGACCTGGGAAAAATGAACAATTTGAAAACACAATTTCCTCCTGAGCAGAGGTGTTAGAACGCCGCTCACGTGGACTTTCAAACTGGAAATCGGTGCGCCGAGCCAACTTCAGTTGGCTGGCGTGATCTGCAAATATTAGCCTGTGATCTGTTGTCAGAACAACTCCAAGCGCCCTCAGGTCTGCCTCACCCCTCATTTCTGAGTTGTTCTAGGGGACACTTCCCCAGATCCTTCTTTCTAGAAAACCATGAGAACCCCAGAAAAAAAAGGATCGGTTTTTGAAAAGAACGATGGCTGAAAAGAATGGCCTCATCCATCATCTAGGTCCTCCAGTAGAGAGCCTAGAATAAGGGTACCACCTTTTTTCTGCCCATTTTAGTAGGGGAACCGAATCTCCCAACCAAAAACGTTGGTGAAGGGCACGATCCTGGGGGACCCTGGGCTCATTTCTGAGTTCTTTTTATGAATCGTCGCGACAGGGCTCCTGCCATTGAAGGGTCACCTGGGAAACCGCGAAGCCTTGTCTTTTTGTCTTGGCGAGGACATCAAATACCAAACCGAGAGCAAATCAAAGGGCTTCCCTACCGGACAGGTTCTCAGGACCCTTCTAAGAAGTCAATATTTCTAAGGTTTATATATATATATATATATAAGCATATGACATTGAACGCAACAAAGCACTTTCCCTGCTTGCTTGCCTTAAATCCAAAGTTCAAATCTCTTCGACCGCTGCGGTCCCTGCTGCCGCCGCCTCTTCGCCATTCTGTGCCTGGGCGCAGGCGCGCCCAGCTTTTCCCTATCAGCGCAAACACCGCCAAGCGAGTTACCCTCCCACCGGCTAACATGGAAGCGCACAGGCCTCTGTAAAAAGACTGGCTTCCTCTCCGAAAGGGGGTTGTGCACTTCCATGTTATTTGGTGGGAGGGTAATGTCAACTTCGGATTAATCCGGTGGACCGTGCCAATCAAGCGGGGAACCAACCTTGCAGTAAGGAGATTCATTAATTCAGGGGGTTCCTCTGACTAGTAGCGTTCTGCAGATCAATGCAAAAATAACATTACTATACAGATGAACGCAAAGTATCAACAACTCCACATCTCATTGCCGCTGACAGAAACGTACCCGTGGCAAACAAAACTGAGACTATATATGTTTAACTGCGGCTGGCTGCTCTGCGACTGTGGGAGGCTTCATTGGCACTATCCGTGACCTTACTTTCAACGTCCGACGCCTGTGTGGCGAACAAAAGCGCTGTGTCAGCTCAAGGAAAGTGACATGGCTTGTACTGTGACTGATAGCACGATAAGAAGAGGGAGCGCGTACTCGCTTCCAGAGTGGACTCGCCAAGAGAAGTTGGAACCTGAGAGAACCAAACTCGAGTGCCTGCTCACTTGATCAAAGCCCCAGGTATCAGTTGGCGGTTGGAACTGCTTGGCAAGTTGAACCCCTCGCTCTCGTCGAGAGGGAGGAGCGGCTCCCAAAAATGGATGCTAGAGGAGCTCCCAAAATCCTGTAACAGTTCCCAGGAAATCAACAGGCACAGGTTTGGTGTGGCAAATATTTTTGGAATCTAGCGAAGCTCAAGCAAGGCTAGCCAAATCTGCAACGTCGAAAGTAGCGAGTCACATTGTTTTTCATATATCGGACGAACTGAGTCACATTCACGACGGGAAACCATCTATGGCAATCTGTCTTTGACCATCCCACGAGGTTGGACTTCCCGATTTTCTGGTTTTGATGTCAAAACATGTTTGAAGCACTCCAGTTGACTGCTGCCATTTGGCTGCTTTTGCAAAACCCGCCCCTTTCACATGGAAACAACCCATCCTTACGGTCACTAAGTGGTGAAGTCCTCAGTGGTTGGGCCTCATCTGGGCATGTGATTTTGGACTCGCAGCACGCGACGATTATGGTCTCACAGGAGCATCTGATCGCACAAAGCACTGCGCCTGCCACGAAATCCAGCTCCAAAACTGCACTCTTGCAGGTCGCTTCACAGAACAAGACCACTCCGGCACCTCTGGATCTCAAAGCGCCGGAACCTTGACCGAAACCCCGGAACCTTGCTTGAACCTTACACCTGGCCCGTGCCGCATGCAACACCAACTGGCCTGCACCGGACCGCAGGACACTAAGCATGGATGGTAGGCTTACATGCGCGTGCGAGACTCGCGCGCTGTGGGCGCGAGGATTACATGCGCTGGCGAGACCCACGAAGACTTGCCCAAAGTGAGGTGCCTGCCACGAAAAGAAGCACAATACATACCAGAATCACGCGCGCCTGCGAGACGAAAATCACGTGTGCTCGCGAGGCTGTCCCACGTGCCCCCGGCAACCAATGTTGTCTCGTGGTGGAGTCACATCGGACCACACATGTGTTGGTTTCTCTTAAACTTCTTCAAGACATCAACTGGGTTGCTCTTACCCCTGAGCTGCAAGTCGAACCTTTCCTAGTTAGGTTTAATTCCAAAAGGTCCAAGGGGCGATTGGGTCACACCGAAAAAAACGAGCCGTGGCCGCGAGGAAAAAAGACGCACACGCAGGCTGAATGTGTGCGAAGTAACCTGTGTGAAGCTGAGCGCGCCGCCAAACAGAGATGGCACACGCGACGCGAGGCTAGGACCTCGGGTGTCACATTCTGAACTGGGACGATCCAGTCCAACGTTGCTGTACAGAGCCAGCCCCCCCCTTCTGATGAAACGAACACCGCGTCAACTCTTTGACGTTAGATCCAGGAATCACGCCAAACATTCAAGCATTCGCCTATTCGTTTGACTTCAAATTGTCCGGTGTGGATTTGAGCTTTCGGGGACAGCAAATGGAGCGCTGGACATGCAAACCTTCCAAGAGAGGCTAAAAGACACTAAACTACATAGTTTAGAGCCCGAGGCGCTATGTATCGCTTTTGCGTTTCAGCCAGTCGAGTAGCAAACTCTTGGGATCCAGCAGATTGCGCCAAAGGGTCGTTATTCGGCGGCGGGGCGAAGAATGGGCCAGATGGGCTCCAAAAAATAGCAGCCGAGGCGCGGCGCAATGACAGTTTAAGCCGCAACCGGCTGCGCCGATGCAAGATGACGTCATGCAATTTCCAAGGCCAAACACTTGTCAAGCTGGATCTATCCTTGTGCAGAACCATACACGCTGCAGACACAGCAAATCAACCAACTAACCTGGATGTGTCTTGAGTTGCAACGGACCTTTTACCCAATGCGTCTTGAGCCATGTAATCACACGTTGAAGCCGGCGCATGCCAGGGGGAAAGCTGCCCTGAACGGCTTTTCTATGGGACATCGCGCTGCAAATGGGGCTTGCCCGCGGTCGCAAATGTCACGAAACCAGCAATCATGAGAACATTCAAAGCAGCCCGACATACTTTAGAGTCTCTTTTGCGAAGGTGAAAATTAGAGTCTTTTAGCCTCTCTTGGTTAGTTATTCGTCGGAACCTTCGTCGGAGCGCCACTTTTGCTCAAAGGACGTCTTCAGCATCATCATGCTTGCTGAATTCATGATTGTCCAACTTTGCCAGACACATGCTCTAGATTTCCGTGCCTGGCAAAAAGGTGGGACAAAGCAGGCAACGGCCAAGGCCTGACCGGATAACTGGCACATATTGTCCCTTCAACTGATGATCAAGGTAGAATTATAACACTTGCCGTCGGGCACATACCGTGCAGCTTTGTCACCAACAAACAGTTACTTTACCTGACAACAATTGCCTAAAATGATCTTAGGCATGTGGCCCTTGCAAACGATTCTTCGTGGACAAGTATAGTGGGGCCACAGAACGTCGGTAGCTGTACAAGCTGAATACCTCAACTGGAGCCAACATTCCTGATCGTTTGGCCCGATTTTCTGACGTCGAAACAACCCGTAACCAGTCCTGCCGGCCATCAATCCTATGCCCGTGTTCGCATTGAGGAATGAAATCGGCGGCAAAGCTGTGTTGCGCCGTGCTCAACAAGAAAAACACCTACATCCCCAGGAAGTGTGCAAGGCTCTGGCAAGGAGTCGACAAGGGAGCACAACTTGGCGTATGCTCCAAAACCCCACAAATTGCCCTTGACTATCCGGTATGTGCACGGTATATGTATGCTATAATCATTATGAGCTGGGAATATGTATATGTACCTATGATACCTGTGAATATCCAAAGATACAGCTTGCCGTGAAATGCTGACGTTTCAGGTGTTGAAGTCTTCTCCGTGGCACAACCAACGGATGCAACCCAAAAATCGAAGCCCTGGAAATGGGGTTCCTTTTTTGCCTACATCTCCCCACCTCCGGCTCGGCTCCTCAATGGTGTTGCCTTGGATGCAAACAGCCACCAGCCATCAAAAAAATGGATCCCCCGCGTGAAAACAGGATAGACAAATCACTTGTGAACTTGTGACCTCTTGGTGGATCCTGGTAGCCTTCGAAGGGAAACCAAGAGTTCTCCAAGTGCAACATGCAAGCAATGAATATATGTTGTACCAACTAGCAAAGATGTCATCAACATTATAAGGTGACCCCTCCGTTCAGCTGCGCGAAGCGCACTTAGCATGAGTTGGGTCTATTAGGATCTATGGATTCTGCATCGATTGGTATAGTGCAGCACAGAATATCGCTCTTGACAGCCAAAGTGCTTTACCCACAATGTCGGGCAATGTGGAAGTACACAATCATTGGGGCCAAACAATAGTGAAAAGGGTGCACAAGTTGGTCCCACACTTGCTGGGCAAATCAACAATCGCAAACTTCCGAGCAAAGAATACAAACAAATATTTCAGAGACTTTGCTTCACAATGCAACACAGTTAGACCCAGAATTGGCAATTACCTTCGGGAAGTACACAGTTGACCTTAGTTGTTAAGCACACCTTCGAGGACATTGCAGTCCGCGAGGGTGTCCGCGAATAGGCCTAAGGAGTCTCTG